TCCTTCAATTTCTGCCTTGCCAGAAGCATTGCTGATGTCACAGTTCAAGATGGCCCACTCTGAACTGTAGCTTCCTAAACCCTCCTTTAAAGTGCAGGCACTGTACTTCCCACTTCCAAGTGGAAAATGCTTTTTGTTCTCTAACTTCAAGATTACCTAGGTCATAACTCTTGACCTACAGGTCAGACTGCTTTAAGATATACAGATATTAGTTCAGAGCATAAGATAAATTTGAATACCAAATTTAGAGATACAGTGGTCCCTCGGACCAACGTATTAATACGTTCCTGAGAGCTTGCGTTTAGTCGATTTTTGTTAGTCGAATTAAAGTTTCCCATAAAGAAATAATGAAATTCAATAATTCGTTCCAGACACCCAAAAAGTATGAAAAAAAAGAAATTGCACATGAAATTATACATTTTTCTTATCTCAGTATAAAGAGGTACATGCAATGATAAAGCAGTGGACCTCAATCTACTGCATTATTCCTTGCCCAGAGGGCGTGGGTGGTCATAATTTGCCGTTGGACGAGTGAATTTTCCCACTTGAGTGAATTTAATGGATATGGATTGAATCTTAAGGTCATCACAATGTCTGTAAAATAAAATTTTCCATGATATTCTATTCATGTACATTTCTATGGTTTGGAATGGGTTCAGGCTTAATTATTCTTTATATTATAGGCACACGTCCGGGTTTGGGAGGGTGGTGTGGTGTGAGGGGGCTGCAGCAGGGTTGTGGCTGTAGGGAGAGATGGCGTGGTTGGTGCGACCCCAGGACAGTTTGTAGGATGGGGTCCTTGGCACGGGGGGGGGGGACAGACACAGGATTGTGGTTGGTTGGCCTCGTGGTCATGCGGGTGATTGCTCCGGTCAAACAAGGCTACTATGATCGTCATAAGAGTCATACTGAGCTATAATGGGTACTACAAGAGTAATGATATTAATGGTCATAACGCGTAATAACTGATATTAGTGTATACAGCGTGCTCCTGCTCTTGGCGTATCAACGGCGTCAAAACAGATCGTCACACTAACAGAGTACTCCATCTGCTACTTCATACCGGTAACATCCATGATATTAATGTACTCCAGCGAACTAATGATGTCACTAACGCGTAGTAATGCATATTACTCGTTAATCAGACGTCATATTGTCTCGTGATAAAAGTAATACTGCTTGTGCTCAAAGCGTCACTGATAGTACCTAAAAGCGTCCTCAATGATCTTCTCGTTCATCACAGTCCTCACGACATCTTAACTCGAACCTCCCGGTCCAACATGCAAGTACATCTGCTCTTCATCGTACTTCCCGAGACCAACACTGCTCTTCATCGTACTCCCGAGGTCCTAAATGCTCTTGCACATCAAAACCTACCGCGTATTAATGCTATTAATAGTAATCCCACAGAGTTAATAATGATAGTACCTAAAGGAGTAGTAATGATATTAATAGTAATAAAAGAGTATAATGCTAGTCATAATGATATTAATAACGCGTCATAATGCATCGTACTAACTGACGTCGTAATGCAATGAATAGTATAAAGAGGGAATAATGATCAGTGATAAGCGTTTAACATTACACTGATCTTACTCGTCATCTGCACTCGTCATACAGCGTATTCCTGCTAGTACTCCGAGTACTAAACATGATCCATCACTACCACCCTTTACACCATCAATACCACCTCACTTACCACTACCACCCTCTTCACCATCACTATTACCCTCTACCACCATCCACAACCACTACACCCTCTTCCACATCACAACACCCTCTACCACCATCTCTACCACCTTCTACTACCATCACAAACACTACCACCCTCTTCCACCATTCACTACCCACCTCTACACATCACTACCACCCTCTACAACCATCACTACCACCATCATACCACCTTCTACCACCATCAACCACCACTACCACAATCACTACCACTACCACCCTCTACCACCATCAACAACCACTACCACCCTCTTCCACCATCACTATTCACCTCACCATCACAACCACTACCACCCTCTACCACCATCAATAACACCTTACCACCATCACTACCACCCTCTACCACCATCACAACCACTACCACCGTTCCACCATCACTTCCACCCTCTACCACCATCACAACCACTACCCACCCTCTTCCCACCATCACTACCACCCTCTACCACCCATCACTACACCATCTACCACCATCAAACACTACCACCCTCTTCCACCATTCACTTACCCTCTACCACATCACAACCACTACCACCCTCTTCCACATCACTACCACCCTCTACCACCATCACTTCCACCCTCTACACCATCAACTACCACCATCTACCACCATCACAACCACTACCACCCTCTCCCACCATCACAACCACTACCACCCTCTACCCAACATTCACTACCACCCTCTACCACCATCACTAACCACTACCCCCCTTCTTCACACCATCACTATCTCCTCTACCACCATCACAACCACTACACCTCTTCCACCATCACTTTTTTTTTTTAACCCCCACCTCCCCCACCATCACAAACCACCCTCTACACCATCACTACCACCCTCTCTTTCCATCAAACCAACTACCACCTCTTCTTATATCTCTATCACCTCTACCACCATCACAACCATACCACCCTCTACCACCATTCAAACCACTACACCCTCTACCACCATCACAACCACTGTCTACCCACCATCACTACCACCCTCTACCACCATCAAAAACCGATACTAACCTTCTATTACCAATCACTACCACCTCTACCACCATCACAACCACTACACCTCTACCACTTCATGACACCTCTACTACCATACAACCACACCACCCTCTACCACCATCACTATCACCCTATGCCACCCATCTCACAATCCACTACCACCATATAGAGAATTTACCTGGAAGGAGAGTTCCTGGGTCAACACCCCCGCGACCCGGTCTGTGACCAGGCCTCCTGGTGGATCAGAGCCTGATCAACCAGGCTATATTGCTGGCTGCATGCAATCCAATGTACGAGCCACAGCCCGGCTGGTCAGGTACCGACTTTAGGTGCTTGTCTCTACCACCTCTACCACCATCACTACCGCCCTCTACCACCACCACTTTCGTATTTTTCTACAAACTTTTTCTTGAATTCTAGTATGTTTCTCACCTCCTTTACCAAAGGGCTGGCTCTAGAAGCTTACATGGGGTCCATGGTGGCTTATTTAGCGGTTACAAGCACTAGAAACAGTGGAATAATCCAAAATGTATGGGAGGCACACGTGGAAACTGACCGCACCAGCTTGTAAACAATGGCACATTGACTCTTGGAGTGGCTGGGCACACATCGACAGGTTCCAGACGAACGTCGTTGGTTAAGTTTTTCGCCGATTGTTAAAGGATTTTTTATACAGCAAAAAGCGCCGTTAGATGAAATTGCCGTTACTTAATGCCACCTTAGTTGAGGGCCGACTGTACTGTACTGTACTAAATGAAGAATAAATGATCCTTACCTTTATTGAAGATGTAGTGATGAGTGACGAGATGGGAGGGGAGATGGAGGTGTATTAATTTGGGAACAACTTGAGAGTCACTGGACCTCTGTCACACCAAAAATCTGTCCATTGAGCTCTTCCAGAACAGGCCTGTTTCGTCACAATTGAGCACTTGTTGGGGTTGGAATTTTTCAGCTTCGCCAAGCCTTATCACACTGTTTATGCCACTACGATTCTCAATTCTCTCAAACCAACCTTTTGCTAGGCCTTAAATTCACCATATGAGCACTAGTTCAGCATTTTTTTCTTGTTCACTGGGTGTTAGTCGACTGGGGTGTGTCACACCCTTGGGGACAAGATTAAGGACCCCAATGGAAATAAGTTAGACAGTCCTTGATGACGCACTGACTTTTTTGGGTATCCTGGGTGGCTAACCTTCTCCCCGGGTTATTTGTTTTTTTCCTCCAGTAATGCTTCTCATTATCCCTCACCAGCACCACTCTCCACATCTTCGAGTAGTACAGGCCGCCAGTGGTGCAGCCAGGCAGTGACGGGGTACTGCTGCAGCAGGCTGACGTTGGTACAGCCAGCTGCAACTGACATGGTACATTAGCAGCAGCAGCTGACTGTGGTACAGCAGCAGCAGCAGCTGGCCATGGTACAGCAGCAGCAGCTGACCGTGGTACGATAGCATTTCTCATCCTTTTTTCCACAGGGATGGCACTCTAGAAGCTTTTCTATCGGGCCCATGGTGGCTTATTTAGCATGTACCAGCACTAAAAACAATGGAATAATACAAAATGTATTGAATGTATGCGTGGAACTGTCTGCCCTGGCACTCAGGCTGGACGGACAGGTTCGGGACAAATCATGTTGGTCGGGTCAAAATTTTTACGCTCAAATGCTTCATTAGTCGACTTTATCATTAGACAATGCCTTCGTTGGTCGGGGGTCCACTGTAGTAGTGTGTTAGGCACTAGTTGTTTTGTCCTAAAACTCCCCAAGAGGAACAATGACTCATTCCTTTGTTATTATGTATAGTAAACCACTGATTTAACACAATTTTTGAAACAAGAGAGGAAATCCACTGGATTAACTTATTCAAAGGCAATGGACAAAAGCCATTGCTTAGTCTATATCTGCTCCCATAGCTGATGAACCCGTTATAAATAAAAATAATGGAATACTTGACAATATCCTCATTTACTCTACCGAAGTCTCCCAGCTCAGGCTGACACATTTCAACATTCTGTACGAGCCCCATCCTGTCATGGAATAAGACAATGAAATGAAGCTTCTCTTTCCACTGTGTATCTATCATAAAGAAAAGGATAGCAGCACACTACTATGTAGTGCAGTTTGCTAAATTGAAAAATCAAGGTTACTGTATCTCAGCATACAGAGATAGAGAGAAGCTATGAATGTACCTTGTCTGCCAAAGAACTAATTCCCTCTGTAGTAGTAAATAACATCTGCAGCAACCCAAAATTTGTTTTCTGTAGCCCTTATCTCATACAGCTTACGAGCTCAGAGGATGATTTGTGTAGTAATGCGTGATGATTCATTTGAACAGTTTTTGGGTCCATCACTTGTATCCCTGAAAAAAAGAAAAAAAAGGTGGAGGTACTATAGTGTTAAATTATACAATGGAAGATACTGTTTAAAGAAAGAAGAGTTAATAATTTGCACAGAAAAAACCTTCAATCATGAAATTAGGATTAGAGGCAGTGTTCCTGTGTATAGTCAAAGCTGATCTTTAACTTGCTTTAAGCATAAAGAAGATAAATAGTTCAGTACATTAAGAAGTATAAAATAACCTTTCCACTGGGCAGCTTCTAACACTTGTGTTAACACAGCACATCACTGTAATTTTAAGACCTGATTTGCTAAAGTCTTTTGGTACTCAACATATATGGGCAAGGTTGTACACATGGCCACTTTAGGTGAGGGAGTTCCAAAGCAAATCAAGTACGTATTTATGATGAAGAGAAATTTCAAACCTCTGCTGCCACCAGTTAACAAACAGTACTGTATAATGCTTGTTGTATAAGTAATACTAAATGTTCCTTTTCTTAAACCAGCATTTTTCATGTATACATTCATAGTACTGTAGTATTTTTAAGAATCCTCAATGTTTACTTGGTGAAATTTAATTTCCTGTGAATTTCCCTTCATTACAACATCTTCACAATGTTACACATTCCCCTTTCTTTGTACACTACTCATTTATGCATGCAATGTAGATACAATATTAGATAAAATGCTAAAACAAATCAGAACAGGTAATTACCATTTTTACAAGAAGTCTTCTCTTTGGTGACAATGGATGTGTCTCTGTGAGAACTGACAAATTCCAAGACAGAATCATGTGTTACTTGATCAATGCAGCCATGCTTGAGAAGAATTGACATCATCTGAGGATTTAATATCACTAGATTTTACCGATTCATGCAAAAAACTATAACACTAGACCACTAGACCTGACATCAGTGATTAGGTCAATGCAGACCACAAACAAAACATGTACCTACAACTGTCTGACAGCAGAATCACAGTAGCACATGATTAAAGCATCACCCACTGACCTATGATGCCCTTATCTACCTATGTAACTATCCATGCCTCATGCTATCTTTTGTCTAATGCTTCACTTTCCTTGAATGACCTTGTAAGCAATCTTCCCAGACATTTCAACCACTGGATAACCAAGAGATTTAAAATAGCACTTTATAATTAGTTAACTAAGTCCCACAATATAAGATTAAAAGCCTTTACCAAGTTTTTATAAAATATACTGGGAAAAAGGTTTAGAATGTGCTAATCTTTACAATTCATTTCATACTGATACTGATACTGAAAAAAATGGCAAATCATTTTGTTTACATTAAATCTATGCTTTGTGGCTTTGAATTTGGCTTATTAGTCTACAACCACTCATTCATTCACTTGTTTCAACAATTTCTGTGGCAGTCTTTCCCTCTAACAATTAGAGATGTGCCCTCTTACCCTTTATACTCAGCTGTAATATTAATCTACTTCACCATCCTTAATCATATATTAAAGTATTATATGTCCCAACAATTTTCACCCTTCCATCACACCAAACAACCACATTCCTAAATTTCTGAAAATCTTTATATTTTCTTTATTTTTTTTTTATTAACACACTGGCCGATTCCAAGACAGGGTGGCCCGAAAAAGAAAAACTTTCACCATCATTCACTCCATCACTGTCTTGCCAGAAGGGTGCTTTACATTACAGTTTTTAAACTGCAACATTAACACCCCTCCTTCAGAGTGCAGGCACTGTACTTCCCATCTCCAGGACTCAAGTCCGGCCTGCCGGTATCCCTGAACCCCTTCATAAATGTTACTTTGCTCACACTCCAACAGCACGTCAAGTATTAAAAACCATTTGTCTCCATTCACTCCTATCAAACATGCTCACGCATGACTGCTGGAAGTCCAAGCACCTCACACACAAAACCTCCTTTACCCCCTCCCTCCAACCTTTCCTAGGCCGACCCCTACCCCGCCTTCCTTCCACTACAGATTGATACACACTTGAAGTCATTCTGTTTCGCTCCATTCTCTCTACATGTCCGAACCACCTCAACAACCCTTCCTCAGCCCTCTGGACAACAGTTTTGGTAATCCCGCACCTCCTCCTAACTTCCAAACTATGAATTCTCTGCATTATATTTACACCACACATTGCCCACAGACATAACATCTCCACTGCCTTCAGCCTTCTCCTCGCTGCAACATTCATCACCCATGCTTCATACCCATATTACCTGGAGTTTACCTGGAGAGAGTTCCAGGGGTCAACGCCCCCGCGGCCCGGTCTGTGACCAGGCCTCCTGGTGGATCAGAGCCTGATCAACCAGGCTGTTGCGTTGGTAAAACTATACTCTCATACATTCCCCTCTTTGCCTCCAAGGACAAAGTTCTTTGTCTCCACAGACTCCTAAGTGCACTGCTCATCCTTTTCCCCTCATCAACTCTATGTTTCACCTCATCTTTCATAGACTCTTTAACTTTTTAGTAAAAACCTTACACCATTATCATTAATAAAATTAGATCACATGCAAATACAATTGTTACACAGAAAATTATTTAGGAGAAATATGATGAGATTTATAATTAACACTATATTTAAACAATATTAGAAGATGAAATGGAAGTTAGTGCTTGATGCAAGGCTCACCTCAGTCATTGTTACCACTGAAACAATATTGATGTCCATTGCTTTGAGGTTCGCTGTACCACCCTGCTCCCGGTCCAAGAAGACCACTGCATCTTTTACGTCCAACTTTAAGTCTCGAAGAGTCTGTGTAAAGCTCTATCACTAAGAATAAGATTCAATAAATATACAGAATACAAATAATGACAGATTCATATAAGAGGCCATTGCCTGCATTTTAAATTATTTTAGAGGCTTATGAATTAAGGCAACAGTACTGTAATGAAAATAAGAGCAATTAGGACTAGTCTGTCTATGCTAAACTGAAGATTGTTAAAGCCAGATACTGCTGAAATTTCATACCATGTTTCCAAAACGATAGTTTTTTTTCAGTTTTCAATACTTTTCTCAACCCAGGATTTTATATGCACTTTTTATTTTGGTATGAAAGGAATGCAGAACTTGTAGACCCTAGATTTCAAATATAGTACATTATTGTTTAGTAAAGATAGTTCCAATATATGTAGATAATCGTATCATTAACTGTATTACTATAATGACCAAACTTTAGTATTTTATCTCTTATCTTCAGCTAACTAAGTGAAATAAAATTAAAATTCCCACAAAATTTAGCAAATACACTACACATTTTCCAACAAGACTGAGTGACCCAAAAAATAAAACACATTCACCAACATCCACTGAATAGCTGTCTGTCTTACCACAAATATGCAAACTTTACAATTTCCATGATCCCATGAACTGAAGCATCCCCACTCATCTTTCAGAGTGCAAGCCCCCTACAGTCCACCTCTAAGACTCTACTTTGCCAAACTGGTCTCCCTGAATTCCTTTATAAATGTTACCTTGCTCACACACTAACAGAATATCAAATCCCAAAAGCTCAGAATTAACATGCTCACACATGCCTGCTATATACTCGAGCTTCTCCCACTTAAAACTTCTTTCAACATCCCCCCCTCTCCTCTCTAAATGAAGATAAAATAATTGTAGGTTAATAGAGATGGCAGCAGATATTTTGTTTTACCTCTACACTTTCATAGACGGAGCTGCCAGACACAATAACGTCCTCTATCATGAGACACTTTTGGTTTCCTTGGTAGCTTCCTTCCACCAGTTTCTTGGTGCCATAACCCTTTGTCTCTTTACGTCGAATCAGCATTGGAACATTCTGGGAAAGATGAACAGTAACAGAGCAATAAAATTCAGACACAGTATAAATGTAAAAATCTATCAAGTCGAACAAAATTTTGACATGGAATATTTATAGTGTTTTTTCTGTAATTCAATTCAATTCAATTCAAGTTTATTCTCTATAAGGGTTACAATGTGGGGTTTACAGGTTTTGGGTATTGTATGGTTTACATGTTATAAAATACTAATTACAGAGGGGGCCACTAGGACACCTAGCATGGCTAGGCATTTCGAGCAGACTTAGATTAATTCTTAACATTAAATCCTTACAGATTATGGCATTAAGGCTAAGTGACTACATCATAATTTGTGAGTTTAGCAATGTGAATGCTTTTGTTTTGGCACAATACAAGGTGTCTATATTGGAGTATCATAGGCAAACTTATGACTAGTTAGGATTTATTATTTTAAGATTAAGATTAGTATTTCTGGGTTTATAGTCAGTGGGTGAGTGAGTGTAATTGTGAACAACCAGGTGGTTATCATGTAGTTAGTTGTCGGGGTGGATCAGGGAGATAAGATGTTTTCTAACTGTAGTTTTGAAAGTGATGAATGTGTCTGCAGTTCTAGAGTTTTCAGGTAGAGTGTTCCAGATTTTAGGTCCTTTGAAATATATTGAATTTTTGTGAAGGTTTAGTCAAACATGGGGAATGTCATAGAGATGTTTGTGTCTGGTGTTATGCCTGTGGATCCTTTCACAACTATCAAGAAAGCATTTTAGGTCAAGGTTAATATTGGAATTTAAGGTCCTGTAGATATAGATTGCACAGTAGTAAGTGTGGATGTTCTGAACAGGGAGTAAGTTTAGATCTATGAAGAGTGGGAGGGGGTGTTGCCAGGGATGGGATTTAGTGATTATTCTTACTGCGGCTTTTTGTTGAGTTATTATTGGCTTTAGGTGTGTTGCTGCAGTTGAACCCCAAGCACAGAATAGCATAGGTGAGGTATGGATATATAAGTGAATGGTATAGTGTGAGAAGGGCAGTTTGCGGCACGTAGTATCGTATCTTGGAGAGAATCCCCACTGTTTTGGATACTTTTTTTGTTATGTGTTGGATATGGGTGCTGAAATTTAGGTTGTTGTCGAGGTATAGGCCAAGGAATTTGCCCTCATTATGTCTGGCAATTAGAGTGTTGTCAATCTTAATGCTAAGTTGTGCAACACCTGCTCTGCTGCCAAACATAATACTGTATAGTAGGTTTTGCCAGAGTTATCTACTGGTGTTTTCAACTGGCAAAAGATTTCAACAAATGATTGAAGGTTCCTTTATAATTATAATTTTGCAAAAAAATTAGTATGTTATTTATACATATACTTACTACACAATTTCTATTTACCGTACTGAATGTCTTGAAGACCCCCAACAGCAGTAAGTTAAATTTAAACTTTGTAGGGTTATCCAAGATTAACCTACATAATTTACTACCAATATATAAATATATCAACCATGTACTTATTGAAACCACTGTACAGGCTGATAAATACTATCTGTAAACTGATAAGTAGACTACCCAAATACACATTATCTAAATGTGTTCTTAATACACACTCAAGTTCTCTTGTTCAAGATCATCTCATCCTTTAGCTGGCTTACAACAAAGGTTTATTAAATATGTATAAAATAAACTTATTTAAAAAAACAGTACCACATATAATCACATTACAGCACGTGTAAAATCTTTGGGAAAAGCAATACAAAATTACCAAAAGCTGCAAAATAGCCTTCACACAGAACATGTGTAGAGGGTACCTGCTTGGTAGAGATGACAGTGGCTATGGGCAAGCCAGTGTAAGCGACCCCACATACTAGATCATAGTCAGTTCCTGGTCGAGCAGCCCACATCAGCTCAGAAACAGTTTCCTGTTTAAAAAAAAAATAGGAATTAATTTCTTAAATTATAGACTTTAATAATGTTAATTTGCCCACTAGAACTACAGACTGCATTATGTTCATAGGGAAGCACTGAGCATGCAAGGGTCATATCAATGACCCCAATGGGAGTAAGGTCATTGACTTTCTGGGTGGGTTAGCTAGATGGGTAATTTACCCCATGTATGATAACTGTACTTATGTGTATGTGTGCCAAAATAAACTTACTTAACCTCTTGAGGAATGGGAGGGTTTATCCAAGAGGAGGAGGATAGCTCCAGTTCCTTGGATCAAGAGCTCTTCACCAGCATCAAGGTATATCCTTGAAGGGGCTTACACTGCATAGATCTGAAAAGTATCTACAAGCTAACCCATTCTTGGGTCCGAGTAACTATCATACAGCAAATGTCAATTGTTCTTCAATGATAAGCCTCATACCTCAATGGCAGAGCATTCATCTCAGAACCAAAAGAACCAGGATCAAATCCTGGGGTGGCCAGATGTATGGGCATACCTCCCTAGACCTGCCCCTCTTCACCTTGTAGTAAATATTATACTCAGGAGTGTGTTGATCGTGGGTAAGTTTATACATAAGTACAATTATCAGTGTAAATTACCCAGGATAACCCATAAAAAAGTCAAACTGATTTATTTCCACTGGGATCCTAGAGGACCCTAGGAACCTAACAAATTTCACCGCTTGGCTTTGTCGAGTTATCAATCCATTGGCATTAATAATCCACAGAAAATGTCTTATAAATGTTCCTCCAAGGATAGAGTATTGTGCTGCTAACCTGTATATAATCTTTCATGTATGCTTTACACCCTTAATTGATTTTTATTTTCAGGCAGTGTGATGCATGGGCCTTTAACTTCAGGCCTACAATTACAGAGACAAACAGTAGCAAGTATGCACATCCTATACAATATAATAAATAGGCCAGATTAAACTAAAATTAGGTTAAAAACTTTTTTCTTCTGTACATTTAGGACAAGTTTCTGATGTGAGGACAATTATTGGACATTAAGACAGTATTTAACATATAATTAGGCCACATATTAATCAAAAAGTTATGGCATTAGAGCTTTAGTTTGGTATTAAATTTAGGCAGAAAAATTTTAAAGGATGCCTAACGAGTAGGCCTAGCGACCTATGGTATAGGTCTACGGACCATGAGTTTAGGGTAGGAGACAATGAGGCGCAGGTCGAAGTACACAGGTGACTGCATGCCACTCTTGAGGGTGAACCTGCCAAACTTGACCACTCCAATGTTGTGTAGGCTCAATATACACTGTTGTATGGCACCTGTGGGATCCCCTACACCCATCTGCTGCACCTGTGTCTCCGCCATATCAACCAGCTACCAGCACCAGCTACCACCACCTGCCCAACTGGTTGCTGGGCTCCTCTTGCCCCACCCTAATACACCCTAAATTCCCTAGTATTGCCACCACTCACTTACTTAGTGCAATATAAGCACTATCCATTGTGGGTTATTAAGGCTGCAACTCACATCTACAATAACACACAGAGTACTTTAATGTCTCATGTACGAATTATTTATTTGTATATATATATATTTATAGCCCTGTTAGTACTGTATATACCCTGTGTTACCATCAAGTATATTTATGTATAAGTACATATATACACTTACACAAATTATACATAGTAACATGTGTAAATTACCTAGGATAACCCAAACAGTTTTTGAGATACAGTTAAATAATCTTTTGTAATTATTGATCTAATTCCTTGACTATCCTCAAGTTATATAACCAAGAGTACACACATCTATGGAAGAAAGTTTATTTAGGCCCAGGTACACATAAGTACAATTATCATAGTGTAAATTACCCACCAGGATAACCCAAAAAAGTCTGTATTTCATAAATACTTATGTTACAAGTGAATATCTTCCTGTGTATAAGTATATGCTCATAGTTCTGCCTAAAATATAATTGCACATTTGCAATCAATTCTTTTATTACTTCTAAAATGATGTTAAAAATTTCCGAAATTTGTGAGTGCGAATATAGTGTAATTTTTTTCTTGCACAGAGATACTGCGACTTATTTTTAATAGATGCGCCACACTGCCTGGCTCCCTCATATATATCACATCTTACAAGGTTAGAGGTACACATGGGAGAAACATTTCTTCCAGCGTATATATATGCTGAAATTTTACCTTAATCTACATATATTGTTGTCTGGTGGTGACAAGGTTACATATAGCCTTACTAAGTTTATTTAGGTACAGGTACACATAAGAACAACTATCATTTATAGTGTGAATTACCCATCAGGATAACCCAAAAAGTCAGTGACTTAATTCCATTGGGGTCCTTAATGACTCTCATATAGTGGATAAGATTGAAACCTTATTAACCAACCTAATGAATATAGCCACACAAAAGGAGGAGAATGAATTTTTATTTTTTTAGCTAACACACATGTTAATGTAAATAATTAATTTTTATCTTATTCCTAGTATATATCCTTTATAGTATAACAATAAGATATTATCTCCATAGTATAATAATGTATTAAAAGGATCCCAATGGAAATAAGTCACTGACTTTGTGTTATCCCAGGTTGTCTACACATATACTGTTATGTATGATAATCTATGTAACTGTATTTGCGTATACCTGAATAAACTTACTTATGTATACCTGAATAAACTTACTTATGTATACCTGAATAAACTTACTTATGTATACCTGAATAAACTTACTTATGTATACCTGAATAAACTTACTTATGTATACCTGAATAAACTTACTTATGTATACCTGAATAAACTTACTTATATCCTTTAAGTCATACTGGATGAACTTACTTATGTATACCTGAATTAAACTTACTTAGTTGACTGATCTCAGCAACTGAATAAACTTACTTATGTATACCTGAATAAACTTCCTTATGTATACCTGAATAAACTTACTTATATCCTTTAAGTCATAATGGATGGAATCTTGCAGTTAATGCATGTTTCCAGAGATTAACTACAAGTTTGAGCTGGATCCTTCCAGCAAGTCTGGATATAACCTCTATGACATTTTATCCAGAATATAACTTCCAGCTGGATTGAAATTTTCTAAATTATGCTAAGTGTGGCTATGTAGTGTGGTGGTCATTGACAGTAATGATGTAGTAGTAGTTTGTGATGGTGGTGTCCCTGTGTGTGTGTGCTCAATTGTGGTTGCAGGGGTCGAGACTCAGCTCCTGGCCCCGCATCTTCACTGTGTGCGTGTGTGTGTGCGCACGTACTCAACTAGTGATGATATTGTTTGTGTACGTACTCAATTAGTGATGATAGTGTGTGTGTGTGTGTGCACATACTCAACTAATGATAGTGTGCGTGCACGTGCTCAACTAGTGATGATGGTGTGTGTGTATGTATGTACGTAGTCAACTAGTGATGATAGTGTGTGTGTGTGTGTGTCTGCACGTACTCAACTAGTGATGATAGTGTGTATGTGTGTGCACGTACTCAACTAGTGATGATAGTGTGTATGTGTGTGCACGTACTCAACTAGTGATGATAGTGTGTGTGCACGTACTCAACTAGTGATGATAGTGTGTATGTGTGTGCACGTACTCAACTAGTGATGATAGTGTGTATGTGTGTGCACGTACTCAACTAGTGATGATAGTGTGTATGTGTGTGCACGTACTCAACTAGTGATGATAGTGTGTGTGTGTGCACGTACTCAACTAGTGATGATAGTGTGTATGTGTGTGCACGTACTCAGCTAGTGATGATAGTGTGTATGTGTGTGCACGTACTCAACTAGTGATGATTGTGTGTGTGCACGTACTCAACTAGTGATGATAGTGTGTGTGTGTGTGTGTGCACGTACTCAACTAGTGATGATAGTGTGTGTGTGTGTGCACGTACTCAACTAGTGATGATAGTGTGTGTGTGTGTGCACGTACTCAACTAGTGATAATAGTGTGTGTGTGTACTGCCTTACTTTGCATCATACAACTACGTCATTTATACGGTGCATAATTTATTTCCAAACTAGCACAGCGACCTGACCTCTTTAATAAACTACAACACATCTTAGTTCTGCCCAACTTAAGTTGGTCCACATTTAGTGATTGTTACTTAACAGCAGTATAGTAGAGGTTGTTACATGATACTCTGGCTAGTTGTCACCAGGCTAGTGCAAGTATGTGTTATGTGACACAATTTATTCTGTACTAGCGGCCTTTTGTGCCTAACAATGTTTTATTACATGATACTTATATTATTTTTGTACTGCATAAAAATGAATTTGAATGTCAAGAGGCTATTACAACAATGAATCTACATTGTTTATATTTTGATGTATTTAGGTATTCTTAGAGATATATAATTTACTCCAAATTTCTTTTCTCTCTCTCTCTCCTTTTTTTTTTTTTTTTTTTATTCGCCGGTATTCTCCCGGCCCGGGTCTTTTCTCCTTTATATAATTTCTACTGCTCAGTTAAGACGGGAAATATCGTCTTAAAAAACTTCATTTATCTTATGTATGAGACAGTATCCTGAGAGCTGGTAATTCCCAAGTAATAGTAACTGCAGCTCTGACAGACCTTAATGAAATATTTGATAATATCTTCATTCATTAATTAAGTTTGCATAGGTACAGATGGACATAAGTACAATTATCACAGTGTAAATTTCCTTGGATAACCCATAAAAAGGTCAGTGACTTATTTCCATTAATCACACATGATATCCACACCGCCTGATAAAATATGACAGAAACATAACTAAGATATTAAGGAAAAAAAATTAAATATAACTTCATATACACTAACTTTTGTATTTTGCATATTAAAAACTAAGTTCCTCATCAACGTCTTGTAATTAATATACTTAAATTAGCTTTGAGGAATGATATTAATTATTATTATGATAATCAAGGGGAAGTGCTAAACCCGTAGGTTTATACAGCGCCTGGGGGAAGATGTGGAAGGCATTCAGGCTTATTAATTCGGGGAACTGGAGCACAGATCCAATTCCCTAAATCAAGAGCCCCTCACCAACATCAAGGAACCTTCCCTGAGGGGTATGATATTAATAATTATTAATATATTGTTCTGGCAGAGGTTTTTATCTCGCCAGCATTATTATATTTATTTTTAAATGTTTTTCTTAACATTGCGTTTAGCAATTATTACGCGGATAACATAGTTAATTTATCTTAATTAAATTAGTTAAGGTATCGTAGTGTTAAAATTAGTAACATTGATCATGGCTGTGATGGTGATCCAGCTGACCTACACAACGTTATTATTTACTCAGACACTGACCACTACAGTGTTCCAGTATCTTGTGTTACTTAACTAACTTGTGGTCCTCTACATCTTACTATCAGAGTGAGAGTTATTATACAGTGTTTTATGCAGGTTATATTGAGAAGCTGTGACAGTCAACTAGGGTTATCCTATCATGTTGGGATGCTGCTGAAGGGTTCTCGATCCAAGGGTTGTGGAGGTACCCTCACCTTGCCTCAAACCTGATTACCTCTTAAATACTGTATGACCTCTACGGGTTTAGCGCCTCCCCAATGATATTGAACGTGTTGTGTGAAGCTTAACAGTTTGGTGGATTATTATTATTATAATCAAGGGGAAGCGCTAAACCCGTAAGATTATACAGCTCCTGAGGGGGGCATGTGGAAGGTATTCAGGTTTAATTCAGGGAACTGGAGAACAGATCCAGTTCCTTAGATCAAGAGCTCCTCACCAGCATCAAGGAGCCTTCCTTGAGGGGGGTGTGTGTGGTGGAGACTTAAGTTTTTATTCCCATGCTTGCCCTAGTCAGGTGATGTGTCGCCCATACGGGTTTAGCTCTCCTAGGAATGTAGTAGTAGAAAAAAGTTGGGTGGTACACTGAACCATCTGTGGACACCTGTGGACACCAACTTTATAATGAAAACCTTGACCAAGGCTGTGACGAATATCATATTTATAGGATATTCAACCTTTATATTAACGTTTCCGAAACGTGAATAAAGAGGCAAGGATCCCAGTGGAAATAAGTAAGTTTGATTTTTGGGGGGTTAGGTTATGTAATTTACACTATGATAATTGTACATGTGTGTACCTGTGCCTAAATAAACTTACTTATCCAGTCCAAAAGTGAGAGTGGTCATACATATGGTCTTGTATGTTATTACAATTTATCTTGTTCTCTTTCCCCCTAAATACTGGCTGGTATGTATTGTAAAATGGAAGTCGCCTTCTTTTACATATTTAAGCTCGTATTTCCTGTATATCAGGATTTTCTACATTCGTGTATACATATAGTATATCAAATTCACCCAGCTTCTGTCATTTATGTATAGGCATAAAAATTTCCAATGTATCTAGGGGAATAGGAGACTACCGACTTAATGGAAATATTGTTTAAAAAATCGGAATGCTTAGAACGTTACTTAAATATATTTCCAGATGTGTTTTGTTTTATTGACATTAAAAAAACTGTAATTTTGTGTTATACTTTTAATCAGTACATAAACACACAAGTAGGTGAGTACACGTACCATTTTCAATTAAAAAAAGTGCATTTGGCGGGATGTTTTTCTGGTAGCTTGTGTGGTTGTCTGGAGTAACTTAGTAGTAAGACTTTCCAGGTTTTCTTCATGTGTTGTGTTAATATTTTCATAGTGTTTACATCTTCAGTACAGTACACAGCTGACAAGTTAGTGCCAAGGACCATCTGAGGAGCAGGTGAAGCAGAAGCAGGGAAAACAGCAGCAGGAAAAACAGCAGAAGCAAGTTCGCTAAACTGAAGAGATAACAGTAACTGGAACGAGCAGCAGCTACCATGTATAACCGAGGCAATACTGGACGAGAGCTCTTCAGCAGGCACCAGTAAGTAATACATAACCAACACAGGTACTAGGATACCTCATATTGGGTGGAAAACCTACCATAACATCGTGTAATATAACTAATTTGTTTTTCTCTCGGGGTGGATCGGTAAACTAGTGGAAGCCTCGATCAATGAGCAAAACCACGGAGTTAGTTTATTTTTAGTATACATATCATATCCTTCTTGTGGGTTATAATCAAAGGAATATAGAAGCACATAATGGTCCAGGGACTGGGCCGCAAATGGCCTGAAATGCTCTGCATACAACGGACTTTTGGCGTGTACACTCAACTATTATATTCCTTTGTACAAGCATGTATCATGTCAAAATAAATTTGTTATTGTTATAGCTAAAAAAGTTAGTGGTGTTGGAGAAACTTGCCCATTTCTGCTGACCTTCAAGGGGCCCCCAGGTTATGTGCTTCTCGTGAATATTATAAGGATAATACTGCCATGGTGTGTGTAATTTGTCAGGGACTACAGCAGTAGCAGCAGTGATCGGTGGTGCCAGCAAGGGGAGGGCTCCCAGGACTGGTCCTCTCAGCTCTACGGTTCTCAGGATTCACAGAGGCTCTCAGCACCCACTTACAGGACCCAACCACCCATGGTACGTCCATGTTATATATACGTATGCACGCTTGACTCGTGCCAGGACACTCCTGGCGAATATTATACATGAAAAATTAGACGTGCAACATCTGGGTCAAGATACCCAGATGCTGCCTACGTGTCTTAATTCTTCATTTTGCCTGTATTTTATACCAATGTTACGCAATATTACACATACGACGCCCTCTTACTCAGCATAGACTCAGGCTGAATTTCCGGTATAGTCGAACCCTATGGGCAAGTCTCCTCACAGATATTGCCCTTGTTCACTTAGCAGTAAATAGATGTATGAGGTTTAGTCTTCTTATACCTACTACCTCTGTTCAACTAGCTGTAAATAGATATTTGGGTGTAGTCAACTGTTGTGGGTCGAATCCTTGAGGAAGAGTGGAATAGATTATAATAAGTACTCCTTGGATAGGGCAGGGTTTTGACATGAGTTGAGGCAGGATAATAACTAGGCCTGTAAATTCGATGGTTTTTATGTGAACTGTAAATCAGTGTTTGTTCTAATTACCAGTTATAAAGAAATTAGCTATAATAATAAAAGTAGTTAGAGAATTCTGGGCAGTGTAAGAGACAGACACACACAGCCAGCGCCAGCCAACAATAGGGACCTTTGTACTCAGGTAGTACATCAAATTCCCGACACATGCTGAATAGACATGATTGGACTGTCAGTAAGTGAGCGCTGTATGACCGCTGTGGTGTGTTGCAATGCAACACATGAACCAATCCAGATACTGACATGAAGGAGAGACAATCTCCTGAATACATTCACCACATTTACCCAACTAGTTATTAACCAATTTATTTTATTAACAGTTTCACTCATACATACTATATAAATTTATTTAAGTAAATAGTCTTTCTTGGCACATAAAATCACACAAAGATAATAAATCAGAAAATACTATGAGTACTAAATATTTCTGCCTATGAGACCCTCTTCAGCAAGTGTGTTTATTTGTAAAGGGGAAATTAGATGACGGGTTTTGATCATATGACCCTCTTCATGGCTCATTCCCCTGGAGAGGTGCGTAATGCCTGCGAGGGGCACTTGAGCCAAGGAATTGAACCTAGCCACCCTCTCTTGAGGTCAAACCTAATGACCATGTGCTTTGTGACCCTTACGAGTTTTGTTCTCCCCCAATGTATGTAATAATATATAAATAAGGAAAGGGTAGTTATAGCACCGTCTTTCTAATGGCCTTGTGATTAAATTTTTAGATTTTGCCACCGAAGTGGCTAGTTTATTGTGCACCCCATATCCATCCTGTGGACGGTAGCGTAAGAGCATATGGATACACAAAAGGCCTAGGAACTAGGCCCCTAAAGGGTTAACAGGTGTACATTTGGATTTATATCTACAGTTCACTTATAGGGGCCCAATACTGGACGTTGTTCTCGATTTTGATTTGGCATAGGAGAAGAAATACTTTGGGTTTCTTTCGATTTCATTTATGGCTTTTAGTTCTTCCTGTGATTCCTGACTCCTAAAGGATTCTTTTAGCTTAAGTTCGATGCTTGCTATTTCTCTGACCAGTGTCTCCCTACGCATTTCAGATATATTGACCTCTTTTAGCCGCTCTGTTATTCTTTTCCGTCGCCTGTAAAGGGAGCGCCTGTCTCTTTCTATTTTACATCTACTCCTCCTTTTTCTTAAAGGAATAAGCCTTGTGCATACATCGAGTGCCACCGAGTTAATCTTTTCAGGCATAATTTTGGGGGTCTGTTTTGGGCTTAGTATATCTTCCCACTTATATCGGTTAGGACTTGGTTTTACTTGGTCCCACTTTATGTTTTTGTTATTGAAGTTGAATTTGGTGAATCCCCCCTCGTGACTAGCTCATTATGTCGGTCTGGGGCTCCACGCATACATGCCCTGAACCTCAATTATGTTGTGATCTGAGTAATTGTTTTTGAAAATGGTGACATTTCTTATCAGATCATAAATTGTTAGTAAAGATGAGGTCTAGTGTATTCTCCAGTCTAGTAGGCTCTATTATTTGCTGGTTTAAATTGAATTTTGTGCAGAGATTTAAAAGCTCGTGTGAGTGTGAGTTTTCATCAGAGCTGCCTCCTGGTGTTATTACTGCAACAATATTATTTGCTATATTCCTCCATTTTAGGTGCCTTAAGTTGAAATCCCCCAGGAGCAAGATGTTGGTGCAGGAGCTGGAAGATTTTCCAGACAGTGGTCAATCTTTAACAGCTGTTCCTGGAATTGCTGGGATGTTGCATCCGGAGGCTTGTAGACTACCACAATTTACCTGGAGTTTACCTGGAGAGAGTTCCGGGGGTCAACGCCCCCGCGGCCCGGTCTGAGACCAGGCCTCCTGGTGGATCAGGCCTGATCAACCAGGCTGTTGCTGCTGCTGCAAAGCAAACCAACATACGAGCCACAGCCCGGCTGATCCGGAACTGACTTTAGGTGCTTGTCCAGTGCCACTTGAAGACTGCCAGGGTCTGTTTGGGAATCCCCCTTAGTGTGCTGGGAGGCAGTTAAAAAGTCCCCGGGCCCCTGACACTTATTGTATGGTCTCTTAACGTGCTAGTGACACCCCTCTTTTCATTGGGGGATGGTGCAAACGTCTGCCAAGCTTTTGCTTTCGTAGTGGGTGATTTTCGTGTGCAAGTTCGGTAAATATCCCTCTAGGATTTTCCAGGTGTAAAATAATCATGTATCTCTCCCTCCTGCGTTCCAGGGAAACAGGTTTAGGAACCTCAAGCGCTCCCAATAATTGAGGTGTTTTTATCTCCGTTATGCGCGCCGTGAAAGGGTTTTCTGTACATTTTCCAGGTCGGCAATTTCACCTCCTTGAAAGGTGCTGTTAGTGTGGGAGCAATATTCCAGCCTAGATAGAACAAGTACCTGAAGAGTGTCAAAAGGCTTGGCCTCCCTAGTTTTGAAGGTTCCCATTATCCATCCTGTCATTTTCTAGCAGATGCGATTGATACAATGTTATGGTCCTTGAAGGTGAGATCCTCCGACAGATCACTCCCAGTGTCTTTGACGTTGGTGTTTCGCTCTATTTTGTGGGGGGGGCCAGAATTTGTTTTGTACTCTGATGAAGATTTAATTTCCTCATGTTTACCAATATCTGAGTAATTGAAATTTCTCATCGTTGAACTTCATATTGTTTTCTGCAGCCCACTGAAAGATTTGGTTGATGTCTGCCTGGAGCTTTGCAGTGTCTGCAATGGAAGACACTGTCATGCAGATTCGGGTGTCATCTGCAAAGGAAGACACGGTGCTGTGGCTGACATCCTGTCTATGTCGGATATAAGGATGAGGGAAAAAGATGGGAGCGAGTACTGTGCCTTGTGAACAGAGCTTTTCACCGTAGCTGCCTCGGACTTTACTCTGTTGACGACTACTCTCTTGTTCTGTTAGTGAGGAAATTATAGATCCATCGACCGACTTTTCCTGTTATTCCTTTAGCACGCAATTTTGTGCGCTATTACGCCATGGTCACACTTGTCGAAGGCTTTTGCAAAGTCTGTATATATTACATCTGCATTCTTTTTGTCTTCTATTGCATTTAGGACCTTGTCGTAGTGGTCCAATAGTTGAGACAGACAGGAGCGACCTGTTCTAAACCCATGTGCCCTGGGTTGTGTAACTGATGGGTTTCTAGATGGGTGGTGATCTTGCTTCTTAGGACCCTTTCAAAGATTTTTATGAATTGGGATTTAGTGCTATTGGTCGTAGTTCTTTGCTGTTGTTTTAAACTGCCCCCTTTGTGGAGTGGGCTATGTCTGTTGTTTTTAGTAACTGTGGGACGACCCCCGTGTCCATGCTCCCTCTCCATAGGATGGAAAAGGCTCGTGATAGGGGCTTCTTGCAGTTCTTGATGAACACAGAGTTCCATGAGTCTGGCCCTGGGGCAGAGTGCATGGGCATGTCATTTATCGCCTGTTCGAAGTCATTTGGCGTCAGGATAACATCGATAGGCTTGTGTTAATCAAATTTTGTGGCTCTCTCATAAAAAATTCATTTTGATCTTCGACTCTCAGTCTGGTTAGCGGCTTGCTAAAAACTGAGTCATATTGGGACTTGAGTAGCTCACTCATTTCCTTGTTGTCATCTGTGTAGAACCCATCTTGTTTAAGTAGGGGCCCAATACTGGACGTTGTTCTCGATTTTGATTTGGCATAGGAGAAGAAATACTTTGGGTTTCTTTCGATTTCAATGACTAGGTTTTGGTTCTCGACCTTTACTGCTAAAACTTCCACTACATCATTTGAGGCATTAAGCAGTTCTGTGCAAACAAGTGACTCTGCAATGTACAGGCCAACCCCTCTCCTTTTGCCTGTTCACTGTCACATCTGTATAGGTTGTAACCTGGGATCCATATTTCGTTGTCCAAGTGATCCTTTATGTGGGTCTCAGTGAAAGCCACGAACATTGCCTTTGCCTCTGCAAGCAGTCCACGGATGAAAGGTATTTTGTTGTTTGTTGCTGGCTTTAGACCCTGTATATTTGCAAAGAAGAATGTTATCGGACTGGTGGTATTGTTGGTACTGGGGGGGATTTTTTTTTCCGGCATTAGTATCTGTATCTGTTGGTTTGGAGTGGAGGTCATCGACTGTGGTTCCACTCCAGGAATGACTGGATTTGGTGTACGATTTCCTGCCATTTCCTGCCAGTTTTTTTTCCTTCCTGGCACTAAAAAACCTCTCCCTCTTGAGTGGCTGTGGCTACCCAGGTTTTCCCATGGCCTGGATATTTTGTATCTTTTTGTCCCCTTTAGATGGTATGCCTGGCAATTTAAGTTATAGCACAGTCTTTCCTGTACTGAAGAGGTACACAGTTCAGGGTGAAAAAGCTTACAGGAAGGGAGTTTGCATTTTCCTGTTGTCATATGGGCATGGCATTTTCTAGGGTGGTCATAGTTGCACGTCCCATCTGTTTTTCCAGATTTCCCATGCCAGCAGATACCAAGTGCATACTATGTGCACAGGCTTGGTTTCCGTTTGCCTTGGGTTTCTGTG